ACAAAACAGTAGACCAACTTAATATCCTTCCTTAGCCAACATTGCAATTTATCATAAAAATAACGAACTTTCCAGTGCAGCATAAAATCATAATTGGGTGATAACGGTCACAAAACGCTTCTAACTTTCAGTTTTCGCATTTCTTTCATGAAATGTTTGACTGCAGGCTATAATTGTGAATCTATGTTATTCCTTATAGCCGAGAAGCTAACACTATACGACAGAGGAGTTGTCATAAAATTGTGTGACCAGCTGTTGCCAGCTGCCTGCCGTTGGAAGTAGGGACCAGAATGAATCATATGTTATAAACATAACTCGAGCTGCATAGACTATATATGCAACAATTGTAGCATATGTATGTTTCGTAAATACTATAACAAAGCTAGGTTGTTGAAGTACTTGCGACTGTATCGGGAATAGAGAAGTATAACCCACATTCTAAAAATGTATATTTTACCTTGAACGCAAGTAATTGTTTTCATGCCATGGTACTATAAAAGTAATTGCATTACATTCGTTGTCGTGTTACTAATAAAGAAATTATTTTTGTCATTTTCTCATGGAAGTAATCACATTAAGTTTGTTGTCATGTTAGGATGACAGTAATCTTTTTTGTCATTTTCCAATGGAAGTAATCATATTCGTTGTCATGTTTCTATAAAAGTAATCGTTGTTGATTGCCACAATTATCTGGTAACTTACGTTGTCGTGTTAGTATGGAAGTAATCACTTACGTTGTCGTGTTACTATAGAAGTAATCACTTACGTTGTCGTGTTACTATGGAAGTAATCACTTACGTTGTCGTGTTACTATGGAAGTAATCACTTACGTTGTGTTACAATGGAAGTAATCACTTACGTTGTTGTGTTACAATGGAAGTAATCACTTACGTTGTGTGTTACAATGGAAGTAATCACTTACGTTGTTGTGTTACAATGGAAGTAATCAACGTTGTCGTGTTACAATGGAAGTAATCACTTACGTTGTTGTGTTACTATGGAAGTAATCACTTACGTTGTCGTGTTACTATGGAAGTAATCACTTACGTTGTGTTACCATGGAAGTAATCACTTACGTTGTCGTGTTACACTGGAAGTAATCACTTACGTTGTTGTGTTACTATGGAAGTAGTCACTAGCGTTGTGTTACTATGGAGGTAATCACTTACGTTGTGTTACCATGGAAGTAATCACTTACGTACGCGTTGTCGTGTTACTATGGAAGTAATCACTGTTGATTGTCACAATAATATGGAAATAATCACTTCATTGTGTTACTATACAATTAACCGATGTTCGTCGTCGTGTATTAAAGTTATTTGTTGTTATGTTAATATATAAGTAATCTTACAGTGTAGACATAATTATAGCAGGGCCCTGTTCATACAATCTGTCGGTTGTCAACCTGCCACTCTATAATTATGGGTACAGGGCACATTGAAAACGTAAATGAGCGTTAGAACACCCAGGAATAGAGTTTAGCTAAAGGTCTAAGTGTCTGCTAAATATACATTACACCGGAAAATGGGCGTGTCTGCAATTGGTGTGTGTGTCTGTGGGCGGGGTCTGGCAACAGGGTTTGCGGGTATTGTGGACGTGTGCATGTCGACTTTTACTGTAGCAGGATATACTAGTGTTGACATGTAAAGTCCATGTTTGTAACATGCGCGGTCAATGTAAGTCACATATGCAGATGTGTGTAACATGCGTTTTCAGTGTTTGTTACATATGCTTGTACAATCTAAATTTCCACCCGTGAAGATCCTGGTTAGAATTGAGCTTCAGTAACCCATGCTTGTCCTAAATGCGACTAACAGGATCGGGTGGTCCGGCTCGCTGACTTGGTTGGCATTTGTCACCGTATCCCAATTACGTACATCGATGCTCATGCTGTTGATCACTGGGTTGTCTGATCCAGATTCGATTATTTACAGACCGCCGGGATATAGCTGGAATATTGCCAAGAGTACGGCGTAAAACTAAACTCACTCACTCACTTTAAATTTCTGTTGAATCTCAAATGGTATTTACAATAAAGATTGTATCTAAAATACCACCACACCCCATCGCAGTTTTTTTGTTTTTTGGTTTTTAATAATACAATTACATAGATAGTGATGTACACTGTGCAAAACATAATGTGTGCGAATCATAATGGAAATCTAGAAGGGGAATATTAAAAATATTGCATGCATCTTACTCTCTGGTGTCCTCCCATCAGTTAGACGTCCCATTTGTCAGACACGTTAAAACAACAAAATTATGGTTGGTTGCACTCAGGTACACTGCACTGTTACTCCTTAATGTTTTAATCTTATATTTTATACATTTTATGCACATATTGTCTAGTGTGTCTCATTGGCCATCTGGCCTGGGGTCTGTATTTTTCTATGTCTTTTTACCGTTGCTATTTTTGACATGTACATTCACGTGACACATAAATAAACTATTGTGTCTGTCTGTCTGTCTGTTGCCCTAATTAGTAATGGATTGATCCAAAGTTATGGATAATGACTTATATACAGCATATACAATATAAATTAAGATAATTTAACAAGGATGTTTAGTAGTACAAACATGATCTTATTTAGCACACCATATATGTATATGAATATGTTAATTTATATAATTAATAGGGCTGTAATGATGCACCAAACTATCGATTGATTGCAATTGTTGAGTCTCCGATAGCAATTAATCGATGGTAGAAATGAAAAACTATCGATGCATCGATAGTATGTGGCACCAGTCACGATAAACTATACAGGGAAACTAATTATAGCACACTGAAAGAGAGACGATATCGCTCTAAACTCATAACTTTCTATAAAATGTATCATCGTCTGATTATCCTGATTATCTGAACGATCTTGTACAAGGTAGAGTATTTGTACAAAGCAACTATAATCTTAGAGATAGTACTTCCATTCAAACTACTAACTGTAGAACGCAGATATTCTCCCAAGCGCAATTAGTTAAAACCCCACACACGCATTCTAGGGTATCACATTGAAACTTTTTATTCCTTGATTATTTTAATTAACACATTGTTTGAATATTTTACAACCATTTTGTTCATACTTCTAACAATCTTTTACCTTTGATCTAATTACCAGTATTCTCCATCAGGTTATAATTATCGCAACATTTACTTTTTACCCACGGCGAGACAGACTATCAAGCCAAACACATTTCATGAAGGAGTGGAATTCACATTACGTATTGTCGGGTTGAATTCAAATTTTTACCCCCACCTGTCCGTCCATCCCACCCTCATACTCTAAATACGTTAGGTCCTCGTAACCCCGTATAGCGCAACTGTTATATACGTATGTATATTCGCGTATTTTGTTAGAATCAAACCCTGTTAAATATTCTGCTCAGGATGAGCAAACAGCGAATTGAATACTCCCGGTACGTGTATCTAGCCGCTCGCGGTCGCCTGCAGCAGCCATGTGGGCGAGCAGGGGTGTGTTTGATTGCATTGGCCTCATCTCAGGGAGATCTCCATGACCTCTAGCTTTGTGCTGTATAGTATCTTTCAAGACCAGGCCCCTGCGCCTAAAGACCTGTCTCTAGTGGAGGTATTTAGGTTAGTCTTTTCAAAGAGGCTTTATAAATAAATGCGACAGCCCTTTGCATAATCAATATATAAAAAAAAGTTTATTTAGTTGAAAAGGCAACAGAAGGATTGACTGAAGGCATTCATGTATCAGGAATTGAACAGTCGTGATATGTCCTCCTGACTGAAAGCACTCTTGCCAATTTAGAGCAAGCATTTGTTGATTCCGTTATATAGTAAGCTGATCAATAGTACATAGTATGAGTCATTGCTCCATAACAAAAGCAACTGTCCAACACAACACTATACCATGGCACAAACAGACTGTCAGTAAGTCTATCGATGACTCACCTGTGCATTAACCCGAAAGTAGCACAGATGCCGTATAAAACGCAACGCAACCCAACAACCAGCGGTGACATCAAAGGTAAGTCGATGACCCATGACTGATGTTGCCAGTCGGTGGACAAGTCGGCCGTACACGCGGGATGCCTACTTGGCATCTGTTGTCGCCAAGGGGAACTGCAAGGGGTCAACTGAGGTCAAATAGCAATCAGAACTAAATTTCTATTTAGTATTGTCACGGTGTGTGTTGATATGAGCTATTAACCCACTCACATGAAATGGAATTTGCTCGTAAACACCTGAAGAATATTTATGTATATGTTCAGAAAATTTCTCTAAAAGGAATTTGTAAAATGCTAACAGTGTTTTATGCACTTGATATTTGGAGTAACATCTGAGAAACCAATACGTTTTTGTTTATGTACGATCGAAGAATAACTAATGATATCATTCGCCTCGCGAATAAATACACTTAAATAAAGAATGGAAAATAAATATTTGAGTACACTTATATTCAGATTTGGCGCTGACCATTCTAAGTTTCCCAAAACAATCTGACAAGGCAAGGAGTCAAGCCTAAGTGGGTGGGATGGGTTCAACCTATTTTTGATTGGTAGTTTAGCTATATCACGGTGTAACAGTTTGATGTTGGGGGAAATAGTTCAAAGAATTCCGGTAGACCTAATAGACGAACGCAGAACAGCGAAATGCGGCGCCTAAGACGAAGGACAGCCATGTCCAGTTGAATATGCATTTGCTTGCAACACACTTGATACTATATAAACATTGGGGACATAGCTGCAAGATGCACTGACGAGTCATGTCATGCAGGCCACTCGTGTAGGCACCAAGAGCACTGGCATCAAGGTTCCATAGAGAATGTCTGAGATGCCAGTTCACGAGATGCCCAGAAAATGGTTGTCTATGCCAACATATTTCACTACATTGTTAATCTATAGAACATGTTCGGTTTCTCTCTGAATATCAGTATACGTTATAATCGATTGTATGTGCAAATGAAGTTTTCAATGTAATGCTTTCTTTCATCAGTATCTATAGATATATCTAACTCTGACTTCCATTTGTCTTGCAGACACGTTCAAACCACTTAACCTGACACAATGCCGTTTGGACTTGGAAAGAAGGGCAGCAGTGCCAAAGACCTTATGAAGTCCAAGGTAACGGCGTAAAATGGCACATTCCCGGCTAGCATGACATGGGGTGGACATTGGCTAAAACACAATGCTCCCTTTGTCCACAAACCATCTTTATCATGATGCCTGACAGATTCACGCCGTTTTTATATACTTCCACGTACCAGTGCATAACATACTATAATCATCAGATGCCATGGCGAACATCGGACATGAGCCTGCCATACCTTGACACATGAGAGTGTGTCCTTTCTGTCCAGCATTTATAAAAGATTAGTTGCACATTTTACTTGCCTCACAAAGGATGATAAATTCATTGTCAGTCCAGCAGTGCCTGATCACCATGCAAATCCTCTTTGTAAAACAATGTTAACATTAAGTAATTACCTGTTTACATGCATAACATAACGAAGCATCACAGCATACGTTTCTATACCATATACTGTACATATGGACATGGACGAAGTCACCTAGGTTTAGAAAGACATGCTGACTATCAGGAAATATCAGAGTTGGTAGTTGTTTGTAGTTGGGATAATATACAGTATGATGTTCCATGGCACACGATGATTGGCTGTTAAGTACCACAAGGACGTCAGTTCCTCGTTTGCTATATGAATCTGTAAAATAGCTGTCCATTAAAAGAAGACAGTTCTTCCTTTGCGCTATTTATCTGTAAGAGGGTGTTCCATGAAGTGACCAGATGAATCCAGCTAGAGATATTAAGCTAGAGATGCCATCTATTTTGGGACAGGTCGGGGACCTGGAGGCCGCTAAGACCAAGCTTGAGGAGGATGTCGAGAAGTACAAGACGGAGGTAGAGTCATACAAGAACGAGGCTGAGGACGCCAAGAAACAGGTCGAAGAGGTCAAAGTCAAGGCCGATGAAGAGGTCAAAAATGCCAAACAGGAAGTAGAGACCGTAAAGAAGGAGGCGGAGGAGACGAAGACTGGGCTGATGGATCAGATAGCAAAGTACAAAAAGCAGTTGGAGGACCTCAAGAACCAAATTGCACAGTTGACGTCAGGGGAGGGACTCGGGAATATCAAGGTGAGTTGAAAAAGAGGTAATATGTCCCACCACCACCAACCACCACCAACAGTTGCAAACTGACCATATGGAACCCGCCTCCACCTTTTCCCCCTACGTTTTAACCTTGAGGCGTATGGAGTTGCGTCCCCTTCACCGGCTTACAGAGTTGCGTCCCTTCACAGCTTCCAGGTTGTATGTACTAATATAGTGCAAACCTGTAGTCTGTCTCACAGTCCCCGAACCACATTATTTTCCCTAGTGCCAAGCCCTCCCTGCAGAGCTCAAGTTCTAAATGAAACAAGTCTAGATTACCTCGGGTACTGAATCTCTGGTCTCCCTGCATCCTCGATAATCTCCAGGGTATGTGTTCCGATAAATCTCCTGGAGATTATCGAGGATGTATAGTGGAGATTTATGGGAATGTATACCCTGGAGATTATCGAGGATATTCTCACGGGGCTCCTTTTCAATTTAAATGGGTTTGTTTGTTACTATCAACATTATACATATTCAGGGACTGTGCGTTAGTCTAAGCAAACCTGCTGCGGTCCACGGTTGTACCATATATGTTTTGGATGACATGAGGTCAAATGTTAGAACAGCTGATGAAAGTCAATTGGCTTATGTCAGCCATAGTGCATACAGAGTTGTATCCCTTTACCACTTTAAAATGGTCCAAGAGACTGAGTATGGTTTTACACCGCTTGTAGCTATATTTCAGCAATATTATGTCTGGGGACACCAGAAATGGGCTTCACACATTGTATCCAATGGGGAATCGAATCAGGGTCTTCAGCCACACGAGCGGACGCTTTAACCACCAGGCTACCCCGCCGCCCTTGAGATGTTTCATATTGTACATTGACAAATGTGTAGCTTTAGGCGTGGAAGATCCTCATTCTGTATATATATCCAGTTCGTCTACCCCACCGCCCCTGAGATGTTTCACATTGTACATTGACGAATGTGTAGCTTTAAGCGTAGAAGATACTGGTTGTGTATGTACTGTATATCCAGTTCACCTCTCTGTTTCAGGAGGCAGCAGGCGGCATGTTGTCCCAGGGCGCCTCTAAGTTTGGCTTCTAGTACTCTTCATCTCACGGACTGTTGTGTCGCTTCAGTTTCATCTTCTCTCGACTTTGTGAGAACAATGTGACATTTCACTTAAATAAATACATATCTGCATCTCGCGGCAGAGACCGCACGGTCTCAGCAGGTTAGCAGCAAACGAAGCGTCGTCACATCTCCCGCGAAAACATATCATTGATAACAAGTTGTTGTCGAGTATAGACGAGTTGTCTCCCTTATATCAGTTCCCTTCACGGCATGGGCGAGTCATTCTGTATTGCTTTGTAAATGACACACAACCCTACAAAAAATATATGGGATAATAGCTTGGAACAAGTGTATTAAATCTTGGAAAACTTATTGGTTTAAATGCAATCACTGACAAGCCAACAGACGTATGGTTGTCAGCAGCGTTTTTGACAAAACTAAAGCATTTAGGTGCCTTCTTCGATGTAGTGATAGAGTACAAAATGGCAGCCGTAATGTGTGTCTGTTTGACGTATCGTGTACCCGTCAGTATGTATCACATGTCATCCCTGTGCCGCGAGGCGTAACACGTGCTAGTAGAACAACCAGTAGACACAGCCTATCTTCATGTACCTGCAAACAGAACATATGGATAAGTTCTGATGTATTTAAATATATGCGACTTCTGTCATATACATATGCTTGAAAATATTTACATCGATGTTGATAATTGGTCAGTACTATATGTGTGGCGAATCATTCATCGTGGATCAAATCTTCTGTGCCTTGGGTATAGCACCTGGTGAAAGTGCTCAACCATACCTTTAATTAGATGTGCAGGTGCCTGTACTCAACAGTTTCCCTGGCAGTCTCACACTGGGTGCTGCTCGAAGGCCAAGAGATTTGACCACAAGGTGAATGATGGAGGGCAGCAATATGTCGAGTTTGTTCTTGGTCTCTGTGTTTCTGTTATTCGTAGTTGGAACCAGTTGTGATTGTAGTTTTCTTTACTGTTTGTTCGAGATTAAATATTTGTATACATCTATCCCACATATATTTGTTTGTTGTATCTAACCACTTGATTACCCACCGACACATATATGACGATATTCCATTAAACACATAAAAAGTGACTTGTCTTAAAGAAACATGAAAGGTCTGCAAAGGCATTCATGGCATTCCACACGTGAAGACATCAACATTTATATGATATATTCAGCCCGAACAGGAGTATCATGTGGACAGGACCATACCTGAACAGTTGGAGTGCATCATGTTGACAAGACCATCCCTAAACAGTTGGAGTGTATCATGATGGCAGGACTATCCCTGAACAGTTGGAGTGTATCATGTTGACAAGACCATCCCTAAACAGTTGGAGTGTATCATGATGGCAGGACTATCCCTGAACAGTTGGAGTGTATCATGTGGACAGGACCATCCCTGAACAGTTGGAGGGTATCATGATGGCAGGACTATCCCTGAACAGTTGGAGTGTATTATGTTGACAGGACCATCCCTAAACAGTTGGAGTGCATCATGTTGACAAGACCATACCTAAACAGTTGGAGTGTATCATGTTGACAGGACCATCCCTGAACAGTTGAAGTGTATTATGTGGACAGAAAGTTACCCCGAACAGTTGGAGTGTATGTTGATGGCAGGACCATCCCTTAACAGTTGGAGCGTATCATGATGGCAGGACTATCCCTGAACAGTTGGAGTGTATTATGTTGACAGGACCATCCCTAAACAGTTGGAGTGTATTATGTGGACAGGACCATCTCTGAACAGTTGGAGTGTATCATGATGGTAGGACCATCCCTGAACAGTTGGAGTGTATCATGTTGACAGGACCATCCCTGAACAGTTGGAGTATATAATGTGGACAGGTCCATCCCTGAACAGTTGGAGTGTACCATGATGGTGGGAACATCCCTGAACATTTGGAGTGTATCATGTTGACAAGACCATCCCTAAACAGTTGGAGTGTATCACGTGGACAGGACCATCCCTAAACAGTTGGAGCGTATGATGTTGACAGGACCATCCCTGAACAGTTGGAGTGTATCATGATGGCAGGACCATCCCTAAACAGTTGGAGTGTATCATGATGACAGGACCATCCCTAAACAGTTGGAGCGTATGACTGGCTGACTGGCTGAGTATGGTTTTACGCCGTTTTTAGCAATATTCCAGCAATATCACGGTGGGGGACACCAGAAATGGGCTTCACAAGTTGTACCCATGGAGTGTATGATGTTGACAGGACCATCCCTAAACAGTTGGAGTATATCATGTTGGTAGGACCATCCCTGAACAGTTGGAGTGTATCATGTGGACAGGACCATCCCTGAACAGTTGGAGCGTATCATGTGGACAGGACCATCCCTGAACAGTTGGAGTGTATCATGTGGACAGGACCATCCCTGAACAGTTGGAGTGTATTATGTGGACAGGACCATCCCTGAACAGTTGGAGTGTATTATGTGGACAGGACCATCCCTAAACAGTTTGAGTATATCATGTTGGTAGGACCATCCCTGAACAGTTGGAGTGTATCATGTGGACAGGACCATCCCTGAACAGTTGGAGCGTATCATGTGGACAGGACCATCCCTGAACAGTTGGAGTGTATAATGATGGCAGGACCATCCCTAAACAGTTGGAGTGTATTATGTTGACAGGACCATCTCTGAACAGTTGGAGTGTATCATGATGGTAGGACCATCCCTGAACAGTTGGAGTGTATCATGTTGACAGGACCATCCCTAAACAGTTGGAGTATATAATGTGGACAGGACCATCCCTGAACAGTTGGAGACAGGAGCGTATCATGTCAACAGGAACATCCCTGAACAGTTGGAGTGTATTATGTGGACAGAACCATCCCTGAACAGTTGGAGTGTACCATGTTGACAAGACCATACCAAAACAGTTGGAGTGTATTATGTGGACAGAACCATCCCTGAACAGTTGTAGTGTACCATGTTGACAGGACCATCCCTGAACAGTTGGAGTATATTATGAGGACAGAACCATCCCTGAACAGTTGGAGTGTATCATGTGGACAGGACCATCCCTAAACAGTTGGAGTGTATCATGATGGCAGGACCATCCCTGAACAGTTGGAGTGTATCATGATGGTAGGACCATCCCTGAACAGTTGGAGTGTATCACGTGGACAGGACCATCCCTGAACAGTTGGAGTGTACCATGTTGACAAGACCATCCCTAAACAGTTGGAGTGTATCATGTTGACAAGACCATCCCTAAACAGTTGGAGTGTATCATGATGGTAGGACCATCCCTGAACAGTTGGAGTGTATCACGTGGACAGGACCATCCCTGAACAGTTGGAGTGTACCATGTTGACAAGACCATCCCTGAACAGTTGGAGTGTATCATGTTGACAAGACCATCCCTAAACAGTTGGAGTGTATCATGATGGTAGGACCATCCCTGAACAGTTGGAGTATATCATGATGGTAGGACCATCCCTGAACAGTTGGAGTGTATCACGTGGACAGGACCATCCCTAAACAGTTGGAGTGTACCATGTTGACAGGACCATCCCTAAACAGTTTGAGTGTATCGTGTTGACAGGACCATCCCTGAACAGTTGGAGTGTATCATGTTGTTTCTGTCTTTAAATGAATACGGCTTCACGTTTAGTTTTGGACCTAAATCCTATTTGAAGTATATATGTCACTAAATGTAAGCCACATGTTAGCGCATTGATATGCAGCCTAATAGTTAATACGTGCTTTGTTTAGGGTTGAATTTATAATTACTGAAATCGCAAATCAACATGGCAGCTATCGCACGACCTGCTACATCATGCTTACTTTGCATAACGCAGAACATATTGAGGTGGTGACACTGCTTCTGATAGTCAGTCTGTCAGCCACAAATACGACGTTGTGGTATGAATCGGGATATCACTTTGTCTTATGTTGGTTAATTGTATCCATCAAAATCTCGACTTCAATGTCATATCAATATATACAAGTAACGCATGTCTGCAGACTTCAAACCATGTACATACACTCTGTGTCTGTAGACTTCAAACCATGCACATGCAATGTTTGTCTTTAGACTTCAAACCATGTACATGCACTGTGTGTCTGTAGACTTCAAACCATGCACATGCACTGTGTGTCTGTAGACTTCAAACCATGCACATGCACTGCGTGTCTGTAGACTTCTAATCATGTACACGCAGTGTGTCTTTGAATTTCAAACCATGTACATGCACTGTGTGTCTGTAGATTTCAAACCATGCACACGCAATGTGTATCTGTTGACTGCAAACCATGCACATGCACTGTGTGTCTGTAGACTTCAAAGCATGTACACGCAATGTGTGTCTGTAGACATCAAAGCATGTACATGCACTGCGTGTCTGTAGATTTCAAACCATGTACATGCACTGTGTGTCTGCAGACTTCAAAACATGTACATACACTCTGTGTCTGTAGACTTCAAACCATGCACATGCACTGTGTGTCTGTAGCCTTCAAAACATGTACACGCAGTGAGTGTCTGTAGACTTCAAACCATGCACACGCAATGTGTGTATCTGTAGACTTGTAGACAAAGCATGTACATCAATGGACAAAATGCCTTGAAAGGGAGATCCGCCTTGAACAATAGGTAGTCTCCAGGGCGATCCTACTTTTTCAAGTTAAACAAACTACTGTTTAGGAAAGTGAAAATCTTCCCGTCCCAAATCTGATATGAGTAGGCAATACTGACTCAAGTGATAATTTGTGTATACATACGGTCCCTGATGACACATTCTGAACTGAGGAACATTAAATCATGACGAAATATTTGCAGTGACGATCGCCACGCCCACTTCTAGAACAGTCGCCACGTGATCAACATAAAACCATGTTCCACACACCGATAATTGTTAAATATTAACACATATATTGATTAGAAGCAGCGTTCGAAATACCTGCCTGCCCGACCGTCCGGGACGGGTTATTTTCAACACGTACTGCCAGATTCTTAAATTCACCTGCCCCACGGTCGTGTGAAAATTTAGACTGAATATGAAGATATTTATCATATTTCAGGATAAGAAATCATTATTAATTCACTCGTAAAAATAAATGATGAATTCCAATTGAATGATAAAATATGTCGCTTGTCAAACCTAAATTATTTGCGGGCAGGTAACTTTTCGTCAGGGCTGGCAAATTTTACATCTAACCAGCCCTGAGGTCTGCCATAATGTTTTTTGACTTTCATACCCTGTTTGAAGTAAAAATCTATTAAACTGTCGTCTCTGAAGTGGGTTACGTGGGTTCTCTGTATGCCGGGATTTCAATATGGGACTAATTCTAGTCATGTTCTAGTCATGTCATACTCGAGAACTATTTCGCGTACCCTTAGGTCACTGGAACATTGGAGCTGTGTTTTTCAATACGCATGGGTAATCTGTCTCCAAGACCCTACAGAACAAACTTGTCTGAAGTATAATAACACTTAGATCTAGATTACCACACCTCCCAAAATTATTAATGTTTCTTGGATATGTATACTCTCCCAAAAAAGAAACGCATCATGAACATAGCAATTTCATGTAGCAATGAATTAAAACGTGATTCATTTTACAAAAGGTTTTGCTCTGTTTATGAGTCCTATGGTGTTTATGTTTTGAAATATCACAACAAAACGCACCATCCGTAAAATACCCGTATTTAACAGCATGATTTTCAATTTCGGCGTGTAGTGTCACAGAATACACAATTCACTTGCAATGCACGGGAAAGTTGGGGATCAGATAGTCTCAATGATGGGTATAAAAGGTTGATCGCTGTCTGTCGATTAGTGACTGTATTTGGAATATTGTTGACGGACGCAAAATGCCACGTCTAATTGCAGCCAACCGTCATATCGCCATTGGTTTGCTTGAAGCTGGCCAGTCTCAACGTGCAGTTGCCCGACGCATGAATGTTCACCAAAGCACCATTTCACGGCTCTGGGAGAGATATCGCAGGCAGAGCAGTAGCAGATGCCCCTCGTAGTGGGCGACCTCGAGCGACCACTGCGGCGCAGGATCGCTACATTCGGGTACATCACCTGCGTCATTGAACAGCTACGGCGACCAGTACCCTCGACAAATACCCGGATTGAGGAGGCTTTCTGCACAGACCGTCAGGAACAGGTTGAGAGAGGCTGGTTTACGTGCCAGAAGACCTTATTTTGGTCCTGTGCTTCGACAACAACATCGTCGACATCGAGTTCAATGGTGCACCAACGTTCAGGCCTGGAACCTACCGAATTGGCGTAGAATCTGGTTCAGTGATGAATCACGATTTCTATTGGAACGACGCGATGGAAGAATGCGGGTGTACATACGTCGACGTGAACGTTTCACCGACGCTTGCGTTCCCCAGATGGACAGATTCGGCCGGGACAGTGTTATGATGTGGGAAGGAATCACCTGCCGTAGAAGAAGTGATTTGGTGATGATCCAGGGCAACCTGACAGCTCAACGGTACTGTGACGAAATTCTACGCCCACACCTCCTTCCAATCATTGATCGCCAGAGGGAGTTGTTTCAACAGGACAATGCCAGGCCCCACACAGCACGTCACACTAGAGACTTCCTCCAGAACCACAACATCAATGTGCTCCCCTGGCCCTCAAGATCACCGGACTTAAACCCGATCGAACATCTGTGGGATGCCCTGGACAGACGGGTGCGACGCCATAACCCTCAGCCCCAGACACTTCAGCAACTCGCACAGGCACTACAGGCAGAGTGAGCTGCGATTGGGCAACACGAGATTCTGAGACTTATTCGTTCGATGCCGAGGCGATGCCGTGCAGTTCTGGATGCCCACGGTGGTCACACGAGGTATTGACTTCAGCGCCACCACACGTCTCCATGTGACACTCAAACTGACTTTCCTCGAGTTGTTGCCAAAGACGGATAAGTCTGCATTCCCAGTGTACAATTTCGCTATATTTCATTAACTCATAAAGCCTACAAGATGTTTCAAAATAAACATAAAAATACAGTTGAAATTCCTATATGCGTTTCTTTTTTGGGGAGTATATATTCATATGGGATAACCATTTTTCTGGAACTTAATACCAATCCAACACATGGGCGAAAACATAAAGAAGTACCTACATTGAGTGAAAGTGAATTCGCATGTTATTGACATTGTTCTATTACGTGTCTGTGCATAGCTTATTAAATGTGAATACATTTTATGAATGTGTCTTGTGTCTCTCCGCAAGTCTAAAATGTCTGCGCCCAAGCAAAACGACAAACAAAACTACAGATTAGTTTGAATATCGCCCCTCTCCCCATAGACTGGTTATCAGTGTAAGCTGCGTGAACACTTGAAACGTTCAACCTGAAGCGAAACTGGCACGATATGCAATACTGACGTGATTAATCTACAACTTTTCTCATTCAATATTAGGTGTTACAAAATAATCCTACAGAAATGGCTGTGATGATATAGACACGATCGTGAATTTACCAAAATGATTCTATTTACATTTGTAAAAATTGTTGTCATTATATAGAAATAATTGTGATCATGCATAAATAATTATAAAAGTGTGAATGGTTACGATTACATAGAAGTGTTTGTAATTTTACAGAAATTGTTGTGATTTTGTTGAAATGATTATAATATATTTAGAAATGTGATTATATAGGAATGATTTCAATAAGGAAGCTTTGTGATTATTAGAAATAGTTGTGATTATATGGAATTTTTAATGGTTGAAAATGGTTGCAATTATTTAGAAATAGTTGGCATTAAATACAAACTGTTGGGGTTAACAGAATATGCTGAGATTACACGTATAAAGGGATGGTAGTCAGCTGATGGCAATATGATAGTTGCCATGCTTCTCAGGGAAGGGACACTGTGGAAATTCCCATGCCGGGACACGCACATATGATACATGTATAGGAATATAAATTCAGTGAATGGTACAGCATATATACTAAAGTCTGGTGTATAATGGAGGTTCGTGGATATATGTATATTTCATCGTATGACTAGGTTATTTTTTTCATATTTTCTTCGCTGACAGCTGGTCCACTGTATCCTAGAGTCCCACATTTCACGGAGTGGTTTCGTCAGTTAATGCTACCTGGATGTGCTAGGCTTGGGGTCACGTCCTACCTTGCTCGGCATATTATGAAACCCGGTTTATCGTAATACAGATGAAATAGTATTTGAGATATAATGTTGAAAACATAGTATTTGAATGCAGAGAGATGAAACGGAGCATTGACATTTAAATAGAGAAATAGAGCCAAAATGTGCGATTGTGTGAGTGAGTGAGTTGATCATAAGGCTACTTTTAACAGTATCGCGGGACAAACCTGCAACCCAATCCGGGAGAACCAGGATTCGAATCCACAATTGGTTTCTGGCGTGACTGGTCTAATTTACGAAACAGTCTATAAACTCTATAATTCCTTTATCCATTAAACCTGGTCTATAAACATTAACGGTCTTTTTGTTTTGTTTTGTTTTTGTTTTCGTTTTTGAATCACATCGCATCAATGCAGAAAACGTTCCTAAAAAATATAAAATAACCGAAAAAACTCATTTCCAGACAACCAAACCATGGTTATGGAAGATGTAATTTTGCATACAACACATACATTTCTACTGGATCTTCCCTGTTTAGTGTAAATAACATGTTGAATAACTTCAGCGGTTTGACTCTTGTTTGTTGATTCTTTTAAATATTGGCTGATGTGGAAACCATTTTACCGTATTTACCGGACACTCAAAACTTATTCATGTGTTTTCTATGCCCGAAAAACCTGGCATTTCAGGCACTCAATCCATGGTGAACTAGAAAATAAAATATGGTCATCGTTTTGTGTGTACATATAGAATTAACCCCCCCAAAATTACCACTACTCATATAAAGGAGCTTACTCATCCATTTTCGCCAGACTCATTATCCATAAATGGCATTCAGCATCACTGAACGTGATAGGAATAGTGTTCTTTCTACTCTGATAGCTGGGGCGTGTCAGTCGCAACGGTATATAAGGATATGCAGCCACTCACTGCACGGACTTCACACTGTTGCTGAATCGTGGAATCACACACTACCGGCATCATGAATTCACTGCTGAGTTCGGTAGGTATTTTTCTTAATATCCCGTTCGGACAGACATGTTCGTATTCTTCTAATCTGTATGTGGTATGACAACCGCAAATGAAAAGGATGAGAGATGGAAGAAAAGGTTAAGTGGATCTGGAGGTTGTGAAAGACCTTCTGGGATAGAAGAGAAGTGGATGTGGATCTGGAGATTGGGTGGGACTTTCTGGGATGGAAGACAAGGCTTAGTAGATCTGGAGGTTGCGAGGGACTTTCTGGGATGGAAGACAAAGGTAGGTAGATCTGGAGGTTGCGAGGGACTTTCTGGGATGGAAGGTAAGGGAGGATCTGGAGGTTGTGAAAGACCTTCTGAGATGGAAGAGAAGGCTTAGTAGATCTGGAGGTTGTGAGGGACTTTCTGGGATGGAAGATAAGGGAGGATCTGGAGGTTGCGATGGACTTCCTGGGATGGAAGATAAGGTAGGATCTGGATGTTGCGAGGGACTTTCTGGGATGGAAAGGAAGGGGAAGTAGATCTGGAGGTTGTGAGGGACTTTTTGGGATGGAAAGGAAGGGTAAGTAGATCTGGAGATTGTGAGGGACTTTCTGGGATGGAAGATAAGGGAGGATATGGAGGTTGCGAGGGACTTCTGGGATGGAAGGTAAGGGGGGATCTGGATGTTGCGAGGGACTTCCTGGGATGAAAGGTAAGGGAGGATCTGGAGGTTGCGTGAGGGACTCCTGGGATGGAAGGTAAGGGAGGATCTGGATGTTGCGAGGGACTTTCTGGGATGGAAAGGAAGGGTAAGTAGATCTGGAGGTTGTGAGGGACTTCTGGGATGGAAAAGGAAGGTAAGTAGATCTGGAGGTTGTGAGGGACTTTCTGGGATGGAAAGGAAGGGGAGTAGATCTGGAGGAGATTGTGAGGGACCTTCTGGGATGGAAGATAAGGAGGATCTGGAGGTTGAGGTTGGTGAGAGGGACTTCTGGGATGGAAGGTAAGGGGGGATCTGGAGGTTGTGAGGGACTTCTGGGATGGAAAGGTAAGGAGGATCTGGAGGTTGTGAGGGACTTTCTGGGATGGAAGAGAAGGCTAAGTAGATCTGGAGGTTGTGAGGGACTTTCTGGGATGGAAGAGAAGGCTAAGTAGATCTGGAGGTTGTGAGGGACTTTCTGGGATGGAAGAGAAGGCTAAGTAGATCTGGAGGTTGTGAGGGACTTTCTGGGATGGAAGATAAGGGAGGAGGTAAGGAGGCCTTCTGGGATGGAAGGTGGGGCGGAGGAGGAGGACTTCTTGGAAGGTAAGGGGGGATCTGAGGGACTTTCTGGGATGGAAGGTAAGGGGGGATCTGGATGTTGCGAGGGACTTCCTGGGATGGAAAGGTAAGGGAGGATCTGAGGAAGGTGAGGGATCTTCTGGGATGGAAGGTAAGGGAGGATCTGGATGTTGTGAGGGACTTTCTGGGATGGAAAGGAAGGGTAAGTAGATCTGGAGGTTGTGAGGGACTTTCTGGGATGGAAGGTAAGGGAGGATCTGGAGGTTGCGAGGGACTTTCTGGGATGGAAGGTAAGGGGGGACCTGGAGGTCGTGAAACACCTTCTGGAGGGACTAGATCTGGAGGGGATGGAAGAGAAAGCTAAGTAGATCTGGAGGTTGTGAGGGACTTTCTGGGATGGAAGGTAAGGGAGGATCTGGAGGTTGCGAGGGACTTTCTGGGATGGAAGGTAAGGGAGGATCTGGAGGTTGCGAGGGACTTTCTGGGATGGAAGGTAAGGGAGGATATGGAGGTTGCGAGGGACTTTCTGGGATGGAAGGTAAGGGAGGATCTGGATGTTGCGAGGGACTTTCTGGGATGGAAGGTAAGGGAGGATCTGGAGGTTGCGAGGGACTTTCTGGGATGGAAGGTAAGGGGGGACCTAGAGGTCGTGAAACACCTTCTGAGATGGAAGAGAAAGCTAAGTGGATCTGGAGGTTGTGAGGGACATTCTGGGATGGAAGATAAGGGAGGATCTGGAGGCTGCGAGGGACTTTCTGGGATGGAAGATAAGGGAGGATCTGGAGGTCGCGATGGACTTCCTGGGATGGAAGGTAAGGGAGGATCCGGAGGTTGTGAGGGACTTTCTGGGATGGAAAGGAAAGGTAAGTAGATCTGGAGGTTGTGAGGGACTTTCTGGGATGGAAGGGAAGGGTAAGTAGATCTGGATGTTGTGAGGGACTTTCTGGAATGGAAAGGAAAGGTAAGTAGATCTGGAAATTTAGGTTTTAATTTAGCAAAGCGGATGTGGAGGTGAGAGGTAAATGTTAGACTGCTGTATAGAGGAAACTCTATAGATGTTTAGATATTTTCAAGATCACAGTGATTATCAAGTTCCTTTTCATGCCACGTTACACACGATAGTACTAAAAGGTTGCTGCTTCTCTCGCACTGAACACTTTTGCATGAAGGCTGCAGAAAGTGTTCCAAAGCACTGTTTCTTTTGTGTTGTAGAAGTCTCGTACAAAATGTCTCTTGTGTTCCAGGTCACTAATGCAGAGAAAATACTGAATGACAAAGTAGATGTAGCGAAAGAAAACGTTGATGAGGGAGTGGAAACCCTAACTGAAGGAAAGGATAAACTTTTGGGAGAAGAAAGCCGGTTAGAAAAGGAGCTTGAGGGAGAGGTAGAAGCGGTGAAAGAGGAAGCAAGTGTGTTGAAGGAAGAGATAAACGAAGCGAAAGAAGAGGTAACGGAATTAAAGGCGGAAGAAGAGAAACTGAGAGCTGAAATAGATGAAGCAAAGATAGAAGAAGAGAGGATGAAAGAAGTAGTCAAAGATGAGGAGGTGGTAGAGGACAAGGTAGTAGAAGAAATCAGGGAGGAGGTGGTACTGGAGGAGAAGGTAGGAAGAGGAATCAATGCAGAGATGATGCTAGAGAAACACGTAGAGGAAGAACTGAAAGAAGAGATGATGCTAGAGAAACACGTAGAGGAAGAACTGAAAGAAGAGGTGTTGCTAGAGAATAAGGTAGAAGAAGAACTTAAAGAAGAGGTGGCGCTAGAGAACAAGGTAGAAAAAGAACTCAAAGAAGAGGAGGTGCTTGAGAACAAAGTAAATGAAGAACTCAAAGAAGAGATGGCGCTTGAGAGCAAGGTAGAAGAAGAACTCAAAGAAGAAAATGCGATTGAAGAAAAGATAGGGAAAGAAATCAAAGAAGCAGAAGCGGAAGCGGAAAAGTAAAACGGTCGAGATCAGGCAAAGTGAGTATTTCGTGTTTATAATATATCCAGTAGAGTGTTTGGTGAACGCTGTTTAAAAGGAAACTCTCGGAGTGAGTCAGATGTAGGTCTTGTGTATCTACATTCAGAGCGTGTGCGCGTGTCAATTTCAGCACTAGTCTACTGATACCTAAAATGGGTTTAAAGTGGGTTTAAATGGGAATCGACGTCAGGAACACTGACTTCATTCACGTGTTTACACCACCGCCCCTTCAGTGTACTTCTGTTGCTTGAACAAGGAATAGCAAAAAGTTTATATAAAGCATACACTGCGAATCTCTCATTCTGAATGTGCAATAGAAGGCCGGGTAAAATGTTACTAAACATTATTTTAATCATCTGTAATACGTTTCTTGTCCATGCAATGTGTGCGTGAATTAACACTTCCTAACCCGTAACAAGAACGACTAGTCGCGTTTTTACAATATATAGAGAAAATATGCATTCATTTTAGGGCAAGAACAATCTGTACTAATGACACTTTTATCCTGCGTTTCAGCAAGAGATGCTTCCAGCTGGACGTACATCAGCTGCAACTGTGTGTATCAACCATCATGTATCTGTACTGATGTACCTTTGACAAAGGAAAAGGCCATTTGAAAAATAAATCTGTTTTAGCTGAAAATTTATTTTTAGTTTTGATTTTGATTTCATATATTATTCTGGATCACACTGTATAAAAAGGACTCTTTATCACAAGTATTTTATCTAGTCACCTAATACCACTTAAATATCTATGAAAGTTACTGGCCCCTGAGGGTGACAGTATGAGGGTCTGGAGTTAATGGTGTGAGGAGACTGGAGTTAATGGTGTTAGGATACTGGAGTTAATGGTGTGAGGAGACTAGAGTTAATGGTGTTAGGATACTGGAGTTAATGGTGTGAGGAGACTGAAGTTCATGGTGGGAGGATACTGGAGTTCATGGTGGGAGGAGACTGGAGTTAGTGGTGGGAGGAGACTGGAGTTAATGGTGTGGAGGAGACTGGAGTTAATGGTGTGAGGAGACGGGACTGGAGTTAATGGTGTGAGGAGACTGGAGTTAATGGTGGAGGAGACTGGAGTTAATGGTGGGAGGAGACTGAGTTAATGGTGGGAGGAGACTGAGTTAAGAGGAGACTGAGATGGTGGGAGGAGACTGGAGTTAATGGTGGGAGGATACTGGAGTTAATGGTGTGAGGAGACTGGAGATGGTGGAGGACTGGAGTTAATGGTGTGAGGAGACTGAGTTACTGGAGTTAATGGTGTGAGGAGACTGAGTTAAATGGTGTGAGGAGACTGAGTTAATGGTGGAGGAGACTGGAGTTAATGGTGTGAGGATACTGGAGTTAATGGTGGGAGGATACTTGAGCACTGGTGTGAGGAGACTGAGTTAATGGTGTGAGGAGACTGGAGTTAATGGTGGGAGGATACTGGAGTTAATGGTGTGAGGAGACTGGAGTTAATGGTGGAGGATACTGGAGTTAATGGTGTGAGGATACTGGAGTTAATGGTGTGAGGATACTGGAGTTAATGGTGTGAGGAGACTGGAGTTAATGGTGTGAGGATACTGGAGGAGTTAATGGTGGGAGGATACTGGAGTTAATGGTGGGAGGAGACTGGAGTTAATGGTGGTGAGGAGAGGATAATGGAGTGGAGTTAATGTGGAGGAGACTGGAGTTAATGGTGTGAGGAGACTGGAGTTAATGGTGTTGGGAGGAGACTGGAGTTAATGGTGTGAGGAGACTGGAGTTAATGGTGGGAGGATACTGGAGTTAAATGGAGGAGAGGAGCACTGAGTTAATGTTGTGGAGGAGACTGAGTTAATGGTGTGAGGAGACTGGAGCTAATGGTGAGTGAGGAGACTGGAGTTAATGGTGGGAGGAACTGAGTTAATTGTGGAGGATACTGGAGTTAATGGTGTGAGGAGACTGGAGTTAATGGTGTGAGGAGACTGGAGACTGGAATGGTGGGAGGAGACTGAGTTAATGGTGGAGGATACTGGAGTTAATGGTGTGAGGAGACTGGAGAGACTTAATGGTGTGAGGATACTGGAGTTAATGGTGGGAGGAGACTGGAGTTAATGGTGGGAGGAGACTGGAGTTAATGGTGGTGGGAGGAGACTGGAGTTAATGGTGTGAGGATACTGAGAGTTGGGAGGAGACTGGAGTTAATGGTGTGAGGAGACTGGAGTTAATGGTGGAGGAGACTGAGTTAATGGTGTGAGGAGACTGGAGTTAATGGTGGGAGGATACTGGAGCTAATGGTGGAGGAGACTGAGTTAATGTTGAGCAATGGTGTGAGGAGACTGGAGTTAATGGTGTGAGGATACTGGAGTTAATGGTGTGAGGAGACTGGAGTTAATGGTGTGAGGAGACTGGAGTTAATGGTGGAGGAGACTGGAGTTAATGGTGTGAGGAGACTGGAGTTAATGGTGTGAGGATACTGGAGTTAATGGTGTGAGGAGACTGGAGTTAATGTTGTGAGGAACTGAGCTAATGGTGTGAGGATACTGGAGTTAATGGTGTGAGGAGACTGGAGTTAATGGTGAGGAGGATACTGGAGTTAATGGTGTGAGGAGACTGGAGTTAATGGTGTGAGGAGACTGAGTTAATGTGTGAGGAGACTGAGTTAATGGTGGGAGGAGACTGGAGTTAATGGTGTGAGGATACTGAGTTAATGGTGGGAGGATACTGGAGTTAATGGTGAGGAGGAGTTAACTGAGGAGGAGTTAATGGTGGGAGGAGACTGGAGTTAATGGTGGGAGGAGACTGGAGTTAATGGTGTGAGGAGACTGAGGAGTTGGGAGGAATGAGTTAATGTGAGGAGACTGGAGGAGTTGGAATGTTGTGAGGAGACTGGAGTTAACTGGAGAGACTAATGGTGTGAGGAGACTGGAGTTAATGGTGTGAGGAGACTGGAGTTAATGGTGTGAGGATACTGGAGTTAATGGTGTGAGGATACTGGAGTTAATGGTGGGAGGAGACTGGAGTTAATGGTGGGAGGAGACTGGAGTTAATGGTGTGAGGAGACTGGAGTTAATGGTGTGAGGAGACTGGAGTTAATGGTGTGAGGATACTGGAGTTAATGTTGTGAGGAGACTGGAGTTAATGGTGTGAGGATACTGGAGTTAATGGTGGGAGGATACTGGAGTTAATGGTGGGAGGAGACTGGAGTTAATGGTGGGAGGAGACTGGAGTTAATGGTGTGAGGAGACTGGAGTTAATGGTGTGAGGATACTGGAGTTAATGGTGTGAGGATACTGGAGTTAATGGTGGGAGGAGACTGGAGTTAATGGTGTGAGGATACTGGAGTTAATGGTGGGAGGATACTGGAGTTAATGGTGGAGAGTACTGGAGTTAATGGTGTGACGATACTGGAGTTAATGATGTGAGGGTACTGGAGTTAATGGTGTGAGGAGACTGGAGTTAATGGTGTGAAGAGACTGGAGTTAATGGTGTGAGGATACTGGAGTTAATGATGTGAGGGTACTGGAGTTAATGGTGTGAGGAACTGGAGTTAATGGTGTGAGGTGACTGGAGTTAATGGTGGGAGGAGACTGGAGTTAATGGTGTGAAGAGACTGGAGTTAATGGTGTGAGGATACTGGAGTTAATGATGTGAGGGTACTGGAGTTAATGGTGTGAGGTGACTGGAGTTAATGGTGTGAGGAGACTGGAGTTAATGGTGGGAGGAGACTGGAGTTAATGGTGTGAGGTGACTGGAGTTAATGGTGTGAGGAGACAGGGGCTAACGGTGTAAGGAAAATGTTTCTGTTGCTAACATCATGAGAAGATCATTCTCCAACAGCAAGATTAATTTGCGAATGACACCAATGACACATGAAATGTCATAGGAAACATGAAATATATTTTAAGCTATGAAACCCTGACCAAATACAGCGACATAAAATCATCTGGATCACACGTTGCAATCCGTCAGTCATTTCACAGCTTTTAATTAGTGGATTCCAAACTTTGCCTCACCTATTCAAAAAGTAGAAATTTTGATCAAAGAACAACGAAACGTCGAGCTCTGGCCCAAAAAGAACAGTTGTGTCAACTCAGATCATGCTGTTATTTTGAACCTTCTAACTGATCCAATGGTGAAGTTGGGGCTGGTTGACTTAACGCCATGTTGATTACAGAAATGATATTAATCTCTTCCACTACTACAAGCAAAAGGACTTTGAACATAACATAAGGGTGCTCTAATACCGGTTAATGAGAATTGATAAGGATATTGGTTATCGTAAATAGCCCAGTGATTATAGACCTCATAAGTGTACGTGTCTCTATCAATATCAAAGTTTAGTCAAATATGCAGTCAGACGGTTTCATCGTCAAGGAGCAATGAGCAAACGCTAATTAAAGCTGAATACAGACTCAGTGATTGGTGGGGAAATTTAGATATGACCAGAGGTACAGATAAGCTGCTTATCTGCGTAAATTACGCAAATATTTATGTGAAAACCCAATTCCTATTAAGTCTGTTGCGTACAAGTACACTTGAATCTTTGTAAATACTCAATAAATGCGATCTTACATGCGTACACACAAAACTGTCAAATCTTAGCTTGCGTACCTGTGGATAGATAATATAACTGAGGTATATTGAGAGGTTCTATTTCAGGACATGAACTTGACAACTTGCAGTCTTTCTTCGCGTTTCTCATTTTACAGATCAAATATAAATAACAAACACTAACATTTAAACTTTATTATATTTTTAAAATTAATGGAAAATGGCAAAGTACCCAATTGAGCCTGAGTGAGGTGAGTACAATGTATTTGGTTACTCAAAGGAAAATTAGGATACCCAGTTGAGATGAACAGAAGCGAGTACATAACTCAGTGACCCAAAAAGTTATCTGTAGCTCTTGATATGACTGTTGACGTACATTCACATCATTATCAGACTAGTAACCAAGGACAGATCAGGTGACACCATATCAGAGGGGCATGTGAGAGCTAATCATTGGTTACACCTTGACAAATCTAGAAAACAGTCATCATTTATTGCGCCTAAACGACTGAACAAATAAAATTAAAATGAATTTTAATGAGTTTTCAATAGGTTTTTACATGAATGTATTGAGTGTTTTATACAGTATAAAACATACGGTGTTTTGAGCACATGGAATTCGCAACATACAAATTGTTGGCTGTGACACATTTAAATAGAAAAGGAAGAAACACGAACCAGAAAGTCAACAAATTAGATATCAACAAATGTAAATGAGTTTCTCTTTTAACACGCTTTGAACAGAATTAAAGTCGCATCTTGATGCATCAGTTTCAATTGAGTTGAAACCCTTAAAAGCGATGCAGGTCTTATAAGCCACAAGTATGGGTATGGCTCTGACAAAACTAGATTACCATAGTCATCCATCTCCCTATAGTTCTGATTAAAATGCGATGTCATAATTCCTACACAGAGGAGTGAGTGAGTGAGTGAGTTTAGTTTTAGGCCGCACTCAGCAATATTCCAGCTGTATGGCGGCGGTCTGTAAATAATCGAGTCTGGACCAGAAAATCCAGTGATCAACAGCATGAGCATCGATCTGCGCAATTGGAACCGATGACATGTGTCA